TCTGATCAATATATAATGTCCTCCTGAGAAAACAATATATAATCTGTAAAAATTTTAGTAACTTCTCACCTGGTACAATTGCAAACTGATAACTGAAAACTTGCTTCAGATCTTCTCTGAAACACTGAACAGTATGCTTGCATCACATAACAGTGTACAGGGTGATAAGTAATTATTTCCAATTATCAGACTTTTCAGTCTTTATAAGAATTTTTTTAAATTATTGTTCTTACCCCTGTAGTTCTATAGTTCCCAGTGACATCTCTGCAGATTAATTCAAGGAGATGCTCTAGACTTTGACTAGTGAAACCAGTGTGGAAGACAAAGTGCTACCTAACTGGTAACGTATCTCAGTGTGCGACTAATCTGATTACTATGACTAAAGCTCTATGTAAGGAAAAAGGATGTTATTAAGTGCTAAAGAAAATAACCAAATATAGCTTTTTAATACATATGCAAACTCAAAATTTATCATATATTTCTCTTTTCTGTTGGCAGAAATTTAAGAATTTTAAAGCTGCTGATTTATACCTATGCGTTGTCATAACATTCTAACTTTTAAATAGTTATGTTGTGTTTCTGTCCTAGGTTTGAATACATTTCCTTCTCATAAAGCTCTAACCCTTATTGCTGTATTCAGATGATGTGATACACAATGCTTACAAATGGAAATGTATGTCCACAGATTCACATTTAGAATACAGTGTGAAAGATCAAGAACTTAGAATAACAAATTTGGTTTCAAGTTAGATTTCTTTTTGGAGGGGAGGGGTACCAGAAATTGAACCCAAGGGGCTTACCCACTGAGCCATAGCTCCAGCCCTTTTCATTTTTTATTTTGAGACAGGGTCTCACTAAGTTGCTGAGGCTGGCTTTGAACTTGGGATCCTCCTGCCTCAGCCTCCTGAGTTGCTGGGATTACAGGCTTGTGCCACCAAGCCTGGCTCAAATTACATTTCTGACTTCTGTGATGGTGAGCAAATCATTTTTTCTGTCTGAATCTGTTTTCTCATCTGCAGATGAAGAATATTAGTTTACAGGTTGGCAATGATTAAATAAAATTAAATTAAATAAAAAGAATAGTGTTACATGTAATATTTTATCAAAGTTTTTCAGCTCAATAGTAATTGCTACTTTTCACGAATATCTGTGGGGTTTTGTTTGTTTGTTTAAAACTAAAACAGTATTTCCTCGAATATTTGCAAAACATACTTTGGAAATCTAACTAATTAATTATCCAGAAAAATATAACCAAGCTTATTTTAAGATGGAAGATTATAACAATACTATTGTTTTGTTCAATAATATGATTCAAAACCACTATTTTAATTTCAACAATTTCTCACCTTATCTGTAATCTAGAAAAATTTCTTCAGTCACACATATACACAGATATGTGTGTGTGTGTGTGTGTGTGTGTGTGTGTGTATATATATACACATACATATACATATATACACAAAATGTTATATATATGTGTATATATAATACACATACAATATATGTTTATATATATATACACACATATACATACATAATGGAAATAAAAGCTATGTTCTAAATGATAATATAAATATCAAGTCATTTGCCAAATATGTAAATGGATGATAAAGCTAAAGCTAAGTTAATAAGAGACTGATCATAACAGACTTTTTAATATTAGAGTGGTATGGTTTTCTTTAACAATTTTACCATGAACATGTGAAAAGTAAGAGTAGTTATGTCTTCAGAAAACTTTTCATTAAATCTTTTTTGAAATAGTTTTATATTTACATTTCTGTAAATTTTCAGTTGCACAGATAGTAAAAAGAAAAACTGTCCTCAAATACTTCACACCCATGGGGGTCATTAATCAACTAATATTAATTAAGTCTTTGTTTAGATTTCTTGTTTTTTGTTTGTTTGTTTTTGTTTTTTATCTAAGGGCCTTTTTCTGTTCCTGGGTCTCATTCACCATACCCTATTCCATTTAGTTGCCATGTCACCTCCGGCTCCTCTGAGCTGAGTCTGTAATCCTTTCCATGTTTTCAAGGACCTTGACAGTTTTGAAGAGTATTAGTCAGGCATTTTGTAGACCCTCCCTCTGTTGTGATTTGTCTGATGCATTTCCAGTTTTGGTTTGGGGAAGGAATACCAGAGGAAACATGACATTCTTGTCACAGGATATCAAAAGTGCATGCCATGGTCATGACTCCTCTTTCTGTGAGAATTTCTCAAACTTTGGGATCCTCTTAGCTGTTAATGTTGACCTTGATCAACTGAATGAGGGACTGCCTGTTAGGCTTCTCCACTATAAAGTAATCAATTTTTATAAGGTTACACTAGAGGAAAATTTAATGGACATTTACACTGAGTTTTAAAAAATTCTGAGTAGATTTTCAATACTAATACTAGGTTCATTAAAGGATTAATGACAAATGCTATGAATACAATGAGCTGGAAAATCAAATGGGAGAATAAAACTAAAACAGTGTTACGTTGAATATTTGCTTAATAGAGGTGAAAGTAAATTTTTTTCCTTGAACTACCTGTGCAATTATTTTAAGCCTCCACACACTTTGGATAATAAAGATCTTAATCTTATTAATTGTAATAAGAGGTAATTTAAATTGGTAATCATTTTGCTTAGTGCTTTTCTGTATGCCCTCCACTGAACAATGTACACAATATTGAAATAATGTAAAAGACTTGATATTTTCACCCCAGCTTTAACTATTTGTCATAAATACAATGTTTCTTGTATATGATTTTAAGATGTTTTACTAATACTAAAAATTTTAATGTGTTTGATTCTATATACTTTATCATATTGAATGTGTATAATTTCTTACTACCATGTTCATTATATTTAGTAATCTATATCCATATTTTGGACTCCACCAACATTTATTAGTGGACTACAAAGAAGTTTTAAGTGCATGAATACATCTTAAGAGGCACCACACTTGGTTATTTTGCAATGCCAAAATAACTGTAGTTACTCATCAATTGCATAGATAATCAAGATTGTTTTTCCTCCAGTTTAAATTATTCTGGATTTTTATTCCCCTTTCCTTGACTCTACTTCATGATTTTACCTATGTATAACAGTAGACTTCCCAAAATGCTACATTTTTACCATGTAATAGAATTTGAGCATGTCAACAGTGTAAGAAAATCCAGAAGTCTCATACTAAGTATGTTTGAATTTTCAAAGTAAATCAAACAACAGCTGTTTTCATTTAACTATGTTGTGGAAACCTATGGACACCATTGTAAAATGCGTATGCATTAGACTTTCTTCACTTTCTTAAAATGTTTTTGAATTAATAAAGAATTCACCAATGTATCCTTAGACAAGTTATTGTTTCCTCCTTGGTGTAACACTACAGGAATAAAGGGTACACTTACATGTGTTGCTTAAGTTGCTTATGCATCTGAGGAAAAATAAATTCTGGCTGGATTCATTACATTGTTCTATAAGGTGATTGCTTATTAGAATTTTGCACCTGTTATAATGAAATATATTCTTGAAATAACATGTTTTGAGAATTCAGCTGAGAGATTTATCATGTTGAGTTCAAATTACTCCAGCCATTTATTTCTGTAGTAAAAAAAAAAAAATCAAAGTTGAGTTTAGAGTTAGGAAATAACTGCTCCTAATGGGTATAAACAAACCTACTGTCCCATTCTATTCTTGGATCAACATTAAAATAAAATAGATTTCAAACACTATCTTACAGCAAGACAATTTTGTAAAGTAGTGGACCTTGAACATACAAAGTGAAAGAATTGTAATAATTGGAGCTTTTAAGTAGCAAAACTATTTCCATTATGTCAAGGATCATTTCATTCTTTCATTTCACTTCCTTTTTTATGTAGTGCTAAGAGAGAGAAGCAATGCAAAAATGCATATTCTTTTTTTCCCCCCAATATTGAGGATGAGCCCAGTCGCTGAGCACACTAGCCAAGAGCTCTACCAGTGAGCTACGTCCCCAGCCCCCAAATTAATTTTTTTGAAAGAATATTATACTTAACAGTTTGGTTAGATGATTGAAGGATATTTTAACTTTGTTAAACGCTCCTATGAGTTACCATTTCTTTTTCTTTTTTTTAATGTTTTCATTTTTTTTTTTTTTAGAAAAATGAAAAGCTATTTCAAATAAGTTATCTCAAAAACAAAAACACACCATGGGGACACTGGTTAACACAGATCGCAGGGAATCCCAGATTGAACATTTAACATTTAACCTTTGCATTCCCAGGACTGTCTTGGACGTATTTATTTCTCCGGTGGCCTGTGAATAAGTGTTTTTAAAACTGCCAATAAACTTCAGTATTCTTGGCACCTATCTGTAAATTTTTTGGAAGTGATAAGCATCGGGCTGCCGGAGGCAGTTCTTCCTGTGCGCAGTGCTGGGGATGCCACCTGGGGAGAGGCCAGTGAGTGCTCTTCTGCGGGGCAGCACGCCCGACCCGGGAGACCGTCGCTCAGGGCTGTTGTGTGGTCATCACACAGAATTCACACAACTGCGTTAAAAGAAAAACATGGCCCAGTGAGGATAGACAGGCAACGGAGAGAAGTCACTTGAAACCAAGTAAATTACGTAGCAGACACACGACTAGACAGCACGTTTTGTGAACTCATTTGGTTCTTGTCTCAGAAGAGCAATTTATTCCCACCCACCCCGCGAGGAGGCCTTTCCGACCCAGGGATAGAACCAGGTGCGGGCCCTCGCAGGCAGCCCCGTCCCGGTCGCCCTCCGCCACGCCCATCACTGTCGGACACGCCCCTCCTGCTCTCCCACCCGCCCCTCAGGACAGCCTCGCCCCGCTCTACGCCCCGCCTCTCCCCGCCAGCTCCGCCCCCACAGCTCTCCGACCCGCCCTCAGGACAGCCCCGCTCCTCCCCGCGAGCTCCGCCCCCGCCACGCCCCCTCAAATTTGGCCCTCAAGAACTACGCAGCGTTCCCGTGCTGGCCCGGAAGTTCTCGCCAACGCTTCCGAGAGGTCTTTTAAAACCCGCGCGTGCGCTCGACGGGGGTGTGGCTGGCTCTCGCCCCTATTTCCAAGCTCTGTGCAGCGTCGCGAGACCTACTCTGTCCCGAACTTCCGGTTCTGATGGGCCTAGCTCTTTGGGCCGGCCATGCGGGGCGGGCTTCTGTAGGGCGCTGCCCGTGTTCTGTGGGCTGGCCGAGCTGTTGGCGCAGCCCGCCGGCCCCTAAGCTGCAGTAGCCCGCCGCTGGAGGAGCTGTTCGCCCGCGGCGGGCCTTTACGGACCTTCCTCGAGCGCCAGGCAGGGTCAGAAGCCCAGTTACGAGTCCAGGGGCCAGAGTTGGCAGCGGTCACCAAACTCCTGAGCGAGAAGGAGCGGGAGCTGCGGGAGACCGAGCACTTGCTGCACGGTAAGGGCCGCGCCAGGGGAGCGGCGTCTGAGCGGATTGTTTTTCCTCCTTTGCCCTTTCCATTAAGCCACTGGCCAGGTGTCCACACTACTGAGTTTGAAGCTCTTAACTAATTTGCAGCCTCTTTTTGTTTGTTTTGTATGACAGGTCAAGACATACTTACGCGTGTTCTTTTCTCATTCTTCCTTTTTGGCGCTCTTGTGCTCCCTTGCCACAGTGCTCCGCCCCACTTTATTTATTTCTTTGTTACCTATCCTCTGGCAGGAGCAAGGACAAACAAGGCACTCTACCCAGTGACGGGCTCCAGACCAGTGTAAAGAGGTGCGACTTAGGATTCGATCTTAAATCTAGGAATGTGCATTTTCTACAGTTTGTCAAGTGACTTTCATGCATTCGAATCTGGAATGGGCTGAACTTTCTGCACTGCTACCAGCTCCCAGGGATGCCAAGGTGCTGGTCCATGGGCCACACTTTGGGTGGCAAGGTTCCAGAGAGGGCTGCAGTTTATTGAGGGATACAGAATTAATTATACAGTTGATAAATGAGAACAGATATATAGAGATGAAAAAAGACCCAAGTAAAGAATTTGTTGGTGTTTTAGAGGTGTAAGAGCCTAACCATTATTAATAGTTTATTGATCCCTTATCATGCTTCAAGCTTTACTAAGCCTTCTTTATGGGTTAATTCATCCAGTTCACACAAGCTATGAGGTAGGTACTATGAACCCCATGTGACAGAAGAGGAACCTGAGTCATAAAGGTAAACAGCACAGATTATATATGGAGCCTCCACTCCATATAAGATCCACTCCAAATCTCACTCTTTTAACCACTGTTTTCTTAATCTAGGAAGAGAGATAAGGGGAATGGCAGTTTGGAACCCTTTTGTAAGGAAAATCAAATATTAATCTAAGATAAGAGGTTGATTTATCCTGTTGGCAGAAGGGAGCCAACAGAAGTTTTTTTATTCGGATGCAAATGATAGAGTTGTAGGAAACCTGATGTGTGGCAATTTAAAAGTCACCCTGGAATGGGATTGAAGATGCCATGAAAAGGGGGGCTAATGGAGTAGTGTGAGAGTTAAGAAGAGTCTAAGTGACTTAAGAGAAAAACAACATGTGATTTTTTTAAAAGAATTAATTAATAAATGGTATTGAGAAAAAATATCTTGGGGAAAAATTAGATTCATAACTTAAGCCAATCTTAAAATCCAAGTGGATTTTAGGAGTATTTTAAAAATCAAACTTAGAGATGTTAACAGACTGTTAGAAATTGTTGCTAAAAGAAATTGTCATTCAGGAAGTCTTGAGATATTATTATGTGGCAGACACTACTAATTACCAAACAATTATGGAACAATCTTTTAGGAGCTTACAGCTTAATGAGGAAGAGAGATGTTTAAGAAGATAAGTAAAAACAAGTGGGTGAATGTTTTAATTTCTATATTAAAGAGCAGAGTGTAATAAAAGGAAAAGTTGGCTTTTAAATGGATCTTGAAGGATAAGCAAGGAGTTGTAAGGTGGATCAAGAGAACAGAATTAAAGGCAAAAGTGATCAGTAAGAATAAAGATACTAAATTGGGAAAGACAAAACAATTAATATATTACCATTCCCTATGAATAATTCCTCAGTCTAAACCCTCTAGAACTTCTCTGTCCAGTGTAGTAGTCAGAAGCCACAAGTGGCTATTGAGTGTGTAATGTGACTAATTTGAATTGAGATATGCTGTAGGTACAGAATCTCAGTAACTTTGGAAGCTGAGGCAGTAGAATCATAAATTCATAGTCAGCCTCAGCAACTAAGTGAAGCCCTAAGCAACCAGACCCTGCCTCAAAATAAAAAATAAAAAGGGTTGGGGATGTGGCTCGGTGGTAAGCCATATCCTGGGTTCAATCCTCACTAAGGAAAAAATTTTTCACGTTATTATACTAGTAACACATTGAAATTATAATATCTTGAATATACTGGTTTAAATAAAATGTAGTCTTAAAATTAAACTACTTCTAGACTCTAGCTCCTATCTCCTTAGCCCTGCAGAACCGAACATTTCAGAACTGGAAAGGCCTCATAGAGTCATGCAGTTCAGAACTTTCATTTTACTGATGTCACCCAAGACTCCAGAAGTTGGGTCTTTGCTCCAAGAGCAACTTAGGGGTTGAGTTTTAGCTAGTATTCATTTTTCTTTTCCTTAACTGCACATATTATCCATTTCACCTAGTTTCTTCCATACCATATCCTGTCCAGTGTAATTTTCTTCTTTTCCACCAGTGTGTCCCGTACTTATCTCCATTTTGCTGATATCATAAGCTCTCCTTCAGCTAATTCTTTCCTTTTGCACAACTCAAAAATAAACTATGACTGAGGATATAGCTCAGTTGGTAGAATGCTTTCCTTACTTGCACAAGGCCCTGGGTTCAATCTCCAGCGCCACAAAAACTGACTGAAAAATAACTCTTTAAAGGTACTGCTATTTAAATATTTAATCACATAGTGCTTTCAGTTATTATTATGGATTATTTTTTTCTCCTCTAGAAAAGTATAAAGAGAAAAAATGATCTATAATCCTGCCTTAAGGGTACATCTTATATTCCTACTATCACCAGAACCCCAGAAAGGTTGGTTCTTACAGATAAGCACACAGATACTCTGTAAACAGAGTTTGATCTTTCACAGAAAGAACAATTGGTAATAGCTAAAAATGGGTCCCATTTTCTCCTTTTGTAGGCTGTCTATTATCTATAGAATAAATGAGGGAGTATCTTATGTACGTCAAAAATAAAAATTCAAAGATGAAACAGGAGACAGGAGCATTTCACATAAAGGTTAAGTAGGGTACTTAATTATACTAAGGAAATATTTACTAAGACAATAACTTTCTACTTTTTGATTCAATTTTGGTTTAAGTTCCCCTTCTGGTTTTTTGATCTTGCTAGATGTATTCATTTGTTATTGTTTAGCCTTAGTTGAAAAACCTAAAGGTTTGTTTTTTAATAGTTAGATTCATTTATACTTAACCATCAGGGGAAAAAAAGTTTCTCTTCTCACAGCTACTTGCTTACGAAAACTAATGTAGAAATGCTGCTTTTAATGTAATTATTAAAATGACAAGATAGACATTTTATTTTTCCCTTCAGCTATACTAGCAATAAACCTGTTACCCTGGAGACTTGTTAGCAGTTTAATAGTAAGTTAAGAAAAACTCAATTGCTGCCTTTTTTTTTCCTTAGATGAGAATGAAGATTTAAGGAAACTTGCAGAGAATGAAATAATTTTGTGTCAAAAAGAAATAACTCAGTTGAAACATCAGGTACAGTATTGATATAAAGTACAAATCATGTCATTACTTCCTATGTATTTTATTAGAAGTTTATAATAAAATCAACAAGTAAGTAACTAGATTTTTACTATTCAGAATAAGCTTTTTAACTTAAGTTTTTCCAGTCTTATTGAGGAGTAATTGACAAAAATTTTATCTACTGAAGGTATTCAATGCATAATGCATACATTATGAAATGGTTACCACTATCAACAAACTGGTCTTTAAAGTGGAAAAAATATACTTAGTGTGGTCCTATTTTTATACCAAAAGGATTGTAGAGCTCTCACAAAAACACAAATGTCTCATTAATAGCACTTTCTGGAAAAGCAATAAAATATCTCCCCTCTTGTTATTTTAAGGGATCAGAATGGACAGTGGGTAGAAGAGGTTATAAAGAGATGACAGACTGTGGGCACCTCAGGGGAAAGAATGTGTCTTTATTTTGTGTCTCTAGTACTATTAGAGTGCTAGTCCTAGAATTTCAAAATGACAAGTTTTCTCTATTAAGTTTAAAAAACACAGATGTGATTTGAATCCTTTTTTTTTTTCCCCCTTTGAGGCTTTAATTTTCAAAAGACTAGTGCTAGGATCTTCTTTTGCATATGTACTGCTCACAAGGAGTTACCTACTTTTTAATAATTGAACAGGGAAGTATTATAAAGCATATAAGATCTCCAAGGAAAAATAAAATCAAGCCAGTAAGTTTAAGATGAATTTTAAAACATTTATTATATTAATAACATTGGTACTCCAAGGAAGTACCAATTTAATTATATGGTTTTAATTGGCAAAAATGGTTGAATAGTACTCAGCAATGTTAAATTATTTGCTTAGAGAAATTTTAGGTTAAATATCTTAAAATCCTCTATCTGATCATTTAGCTTTTTTTCTTGTTATTGGTTTCAAATAATTCTTAATTATAGGAGGGGTAATATTTTATGTTTACAGATTATCTGTCTTTTGGTTCCCTCAGAAGAAACTGATGAAAGTGATTTGATCCTGGAGGTAACTGCAGGAGTTGGGGGTCAGGAGGCCATGTTGTTTACTTCTGAGATGTTTGATATGTATCAGCAATACGCTGCATTTAAAAGATGGAATTTTGAAACCCTGGAATACTTTCCAAGTGAAATAGGTAAGTAAATTGTTCAATTTATTTTGGCACAGTATAGTAGTATTTTACTTATCTACGTGGGACCTAGAAAAAGGGTTGGCAAGACCATGACTGGACTTCAGAACTTACTTGTAAGTAAGTCTTAAGCTGTTTTATGCTCATCATTTAGCTAATAATTTTGATTACAAGCATAGCAATTTTGAACAGCTTATACAGTCTAATGGATATTCATTCAGTACTTAATAATGCTGAATGATTAATGGTCTCTAAAAATGGACTTTAAATGTTTCATTGATGTCAGTTAAGTAGCACTGTAAATGCTTTATGTTTAATCATCATAAGCAATAAAGATTAAATGTCAAAGTAGGCTTGCCAAAATGAGTATATTTGCAATCTCTGTTTATGTTTTGTGATTATTTTAAATGTATTTCAGGATAGTAGATATAATAGTTACTTAAAAATGTCAGGAATAATAAAAAGAACCTATCTTCCCTATATTTTCAAGGTGGCCTTAGACATGCATCTGCCAGCATTGGCGGTTCAGAAGCCTATAAACACATGAAATTTGAAGGGGGAGTGCATAGAGTACAGCGAGTACCAAAGACAGAGAAGCAAGGCCGCATCCATACTAGCACTATGACAGTGGCAATATTACCCCAGCCCACTGAGGTAAGGTTAGTAATCCCCCCTTTTCTAGCATAGTGCCTCTTGTCCTCCACTCCCCAGTAACACTCAAAATTTTATTGAATTGAGCATTTCTTTCTCTTAGTATTTGGCCTTCCTCATATATTTTGAGTTAATTCTAAGAATCAATTATCTTAGTTCAAAATGTAGTTTTACAAAAGATGGTAAGAATAAATATTTATAAATGATCCAGTCTTGCTTTATCAAGTTACTTTTCTCCACCACTAAAATAGACATTGTGAGACCATCTCTCTAGGTAAAATAATACTAACCTACTTAAATATGGTTGGGTAGCCTTAATAATGACTTTGCTTTTTGTGACTGGATCCCCAGATATTATTAGAACAAGGATAATTAGTTAATACTTCATAGCCCAGTCACATTAACATTGTTATGATGGTTCCTAATGAGTATTATTTATTCTTAAAAAAGTAATTCTCAATCTAGTTTTGTATTTGTTTTTTAATTTCTCTTCTCCCAAAAAGTGATAGGTTTTCAGCATTTTTCAAAATGAAATATACATGGTTTGAGAAAGAAATTTAATGGAGGGTTTCTGTTATTAATTTTGAGAGAAAAAGTGCTGTTTGACTCTATGTAATAGGGTTAATAGAATTTCTTTAGTTCTCATGTTTGTGTGAAGCATAGATGAGGAACAGTTAAGGGAAAAAGTAAAGTAGAATAAGTAGCAGGAGTTCACACCTAGGTACTAGTCACTTCTGGTTTAACGTTTTGGAAATGGTAGGCACTTTCAGGAAATGATGGGATACTGAGGTCACTATTACCATCTGACGCTTCTAGCAACTCTAAGAATTAAGTAGGGAGACATGGAGGGCTTAGGGAATGGTAATATTCTTATTGCCACGATTGTGGACATGTCATAACGCAGTTCATAGCTTATGGAAACTTTTAAACATAGCGCTTTTTATAGTGACTCCTAAGACAAAGTGTTATCCTGATGTCAGATCACAGTATATCCACTGAGTCTAGACTCTTGGCATCTTGGCTTTTGCTATTTCTACTTGTCTTACCTTTGCCTTTAGATGTGTTTGAAACAAACCCTGCACTCAAGCTACCAATTTTTCCCCCTGTGCTAGTCTTTTTGAACTCAGAAATAGTCTACAAATCTCATTTTAGCTTAACACATTTCTAATAATAGCTGTTTTTATTGTTCATGTGGTAAAAAGGGAGTATTTGCAGAGAAGCTAAGTCTAGTTTTTGAGGATTAGAAAGGGTTTGTTTTTGTTCTGTATTATACTTAGATTCCCTACTCTTATTTTTTTAAAAAAAAGGTCTTAAAATAGCATCATTCCCACTATTGTCTGTTCTTAAAATTTTAAAGTCTCAACATGAATAATATACATGACATGTATTTATTAAACAGTTCATCTTTATCTACATAGTTGATAAATGTAAGTTTTTAAAATCTTTTTAAACTTCTCTTTCTATGTATAGATTAATCTGGTGATTAATCCTAAAGATTTGAGAATCGATACTAAGCGAGCTAGTGGAGCTGGAGGTCAGCACGTAAATACCACGGACAGTGCTGTCAGGATTGTTCATCTTCCAACAGGTATGTACTTATTTTTTTAACATAAAACTAAAGAGTCACTTTCTGAAGGACTTGACTCATTTTCCACTGCAACAGACCCTTTAGTCACCCAAGGACTATATATTTATTAAAGACAGTTATCGATTACTTGATTTAGAATCTGCACACGATACTCTGCAGGATAATCTCAAAGCCAGGAAAAGAGGGAGTTCTGAACCCAGGGAATTTCCACATTAATGACTATGAAGAGAAAGTACAATCTTTCTAAATGGCCTTCTGAAAATTATATTTAATATTCTTAGCTATTTAAGAAAAATGATCACAGTGAAGTAATTGTCACTGGTTATATATATCTGAAAATGCTCTAAATCACTAGTTCTTGTCTCTTTTGGGGAGAGGGCAACATGGACTCCTTTGAGAAAATGAAGCACTTGATGTCCTACCCAGAAACATACCTATATACTTGCAAAGTTTTGCATATAATTTCAGGGTCATCTTCCCTTTGAGCTCATTCACACACCTATTAGGCAAAGGGACTGAATCTAAATCTTTAAGTCTCCACTATACACCAGGTAGAACTAAGTGTGCTTTACCAGCCTTAATATAGTGATTTACATGTTATAAAGAGTATTTGGAATTAGCAAACTTCTGCTATCTAGAAAGAATATAAGAACCTCTGTAACTGATCTCAAATAGGCTTATGTCCCATTAACAAGAAGTGGTTGATGGGAGTGCTAGATTGATGTTTTTATTCTTTTAAATATGGGAATATCCTCATGTTAAACTTCAAGGTCAAATTTTATGTAATATAGAATATAATAATAGTAATGAGAATAAAGAAAATCCTCAAAAAACATTAATAGTTTTAACTTTTTTCTATAATTGTTATTCAAAAACTTATTGTAGTTAGCTGAGACTAGGAAAATAATCGAATGGTTTATGTTTATTGTTTAATTATATATGTCTTCAGTATGCAAGTGCATTTTGCTATAGTTCAGACTTAAATTTCACTTTTGATAAACTTTAAAATGCTATTTAAGTTTAAAGTCTCCTTTTTATATGAGGGTCCTGTTTTTCTCCTCTGAAAAGATAGAAAAAGAATGAGAAGGAAAAGGAGTATTCCTTCATATTAAGTAAAGAAGATTTTTCTATTAAAACTCTAATTCTCATAAAACTATTCAGGTGTTGTTTCTGAATGCCAACAAGAGAGGTCTCAACTGAAAAATAGAGAGATGGCTATGAAAAAGTTGCGTGCAAAGCTGTACAATATGCATCTAGAGGAAGAAACAAGTAAAAGATACAGTGCTAGGAAGATCCAGGTAAAATTGAATTTAAAAAAAAAAAATGTTTCCATAGGATAGAAAATGTTCTTAAATAACTGAGTTTTTTATGTCCAAACTCTTTTCATGTATTATCAAAGGCAGAAAACAACTCAAGTAGGCTGACTGAGGTATATACCTGTATTATAGTAATTTTGCTCCCCTGCCTTCTATATTCAAAGGCATTCTCAGATTTTGTCAGTTACTGAAAAAAAGATTGAGTCCCATTCCCTTAATTTTTAACCCTTTGAAAGCCAAGTATGGTGGCATACACCTTTAATCCCCTGGGGAGGCTGAGGTAGGAGGATCACAAGTTCAAGGCCAGTCTCAGCAATTTAGCAAGGCCCTGAGCAACTTAGTGGAACCATGTCTCAAAATAAAAGATTAAAGGGACTGAAGATTCGGCCAGTGGTAAAGGAACCCTGTGTTCAATCCCTAGTACCAAGGAAAACCACTCTTGCAAACTGAACTTTTTTCCTATTTAATATTTAATTTTGTAACTTACACATCCCTTTTAAGACCTCCTCAGTACGGGGCATTCATCATCTTATCAACACTCAAGATGGCTACATTAATTCACAGAGATTATGTATACAATATCACTATGCAGTAGATACCATTTGTCTTATTTTTATGTGGTAAATTTAATCTATTTCCTGAATTCAGAGAGCATTGAAGTGGTGGAGACAGAATTCAAGTATTAATCTTTATGATTTTAAAGCCCACATTCTTTTTTTATCACATCCCATGTCATTTAGAGATTTAACACATTAAAACTTGAAGACGTCTTGTTTTGTGATTTAATTGTAAATCAAGAATTTAGTGAGAGTAAGTTAAGTTTGTAGGTCCAAGTTTTCCTGATCTAATTATATCTCATATCTTTCTTTATACATGTATAGGTTGGAACTAAAGGAAGATCAGAGAAAATAAGAACATATAATTTTCCACAGAACCGGGTCACAGATCACAGAATAAACAAATCACTGCATGGTCTTGAGACTTTTATGCAAGGAGATTATCTACTGGATGAACTTATACAGTCCCTGAAGGACTATGCTGATTATGAATATTTACTAGAAATTATTTCCAAAAAAGCTTAGGTTGGTTTGTTATTAAAGTATTTCATGCACTCAGGAAAATACTATAGCACATCAATTGTGTATACTCATGAGTATTCTCTTAAAAAGTTTTTACAGTGGTAAGCAATATACATATTCGTAATGCATAATTAATGTAGATCTCAGTGCATTAGTAAAACATGACTGCTGTAAATCTTGCGCTCTTCTGTACAAGAAACAGATGAACTCATTTGTTTCTGTAAGATCCTTAAAATTAAATATTTTAATATTTAATCAAAAAATTTCTTTAACTCTATTTTGAAAAACTTAAAATATAAAATAGAAATATGACTGTAGATACTATAGGAGTCAGGAGATGGAAGCCCTGTCATTAATTGAATTGGTAATAGAATTAACAAGTGAGAATAAAAGAACACTTAGTACACTGAAAGAGAGTACCCTAAGACCGAGAGTACCCAATGTAAGACCACCCTTGTAAGGGTCTTTACTTCCCCATGATGGAGTGGGGCCTATTAGAGGGTGTGGGTATATCCCAATCAATGATGGAAAGGTTCCTGGTATGTAGCTGGTGCATTAGGCCTTGGCATTGCATCTCAAACTCTGATGGACTGGTAAGCAAGAAGGTTTCTGCCAAAGTATGAACAAAACTGGATGGTAAGCCTTAGTGCATTTCTATATCTAGGGTCTTACAGAGAGGCAGAACCAATAAGATATATATATATAAAGATAAGATTGACACACATGATTACTACATGAAAAGTCCAAAATGTGCAGCACGAGGGAGCCAGCTGGAGACCTATGAGAGCTAGTGGTGCAGTTCCATTCCTAGGTAGTCGACTAGAAAACTCTTGCTTAGGGGAGGCTGGTCTTTTTATTCTATTCAGACTTTCAGTTGATGGGATGAAACCCATTGACATGGAAGGAATCTGCTTTGTTCAAAATTCTCTGATCGAAATGTCAATTTTAAAAACTTTTAACACATTTGGGATTTTAACAATATATATTTAAAATTGGGCTGGGAATGTAGCTCAGTGGAAGGTGTGCTTCATATGTGAGGCCCTGGGTTCAATTCCTGGCACAGCAAAAAATAAATAAGATTTAAAAATAAAATACATATTGGTGTATTATAAACACATGCAGAATAACTGGCAAATATGATCTGTGAGCTGACATGGGCTCTACTTCATTCACTATTTATTCCTAATTAATCAAATGGAATTCTAGAAACCCATGAAACTTAGATAAGAGTACAGAACCATCCTAATTCTTAATATTTTAAGATCCCTCAAATATGTGTATGTTTGCCAAAATACACAATACAACTGTATTAATTAAAAACCATTGTCACTGCTTATGCATGTCACCACCATGCCTACATCACTAATGTTGACCCCTCTGCCTAGAAAACTTACTCCACTTACTAATGCAGATTTAAGATCCAACCTAAAAGGCATCGTGTCCCCTATAAATAATTGACTTCCTTCATCTGTATTCCATAGTACTTTACTGTATGCTATGTGTAGTCTGAATGTGTCCCCCTAAATTCACATATTGGAAATTTAGTTTGCAATGCAACAGTGTTGGGAGGTTTGGCTTTTGGGGAAGTGTTTGGGTCATGAGGGAGGGCATGAATGGATAAAAGCTGTTATAAAAGGTCTTGAAAAAGGGAGTTGGGCCCTTTTTGCCCTTTTATCTGTCATGTGAGGATACAAAAAGTACCTTCTTAGAAGCATAAGAATCCCTCCGCAGGTGCTGAATCCTTGATCTTTGATTTCTTAGGTTCCCAAACTGTAGGAAAATTTGTTCTTTATACATTACCTCGTCTGGAATTGTTACAGCAAGACAAGACAGACTAAGATACCACAATATCTGTATGGCAACAGTTACTTCAAAATATTAATTTACTGGTTTATTTAAAGACAAAATTGTGTGCTAAGGAATAGAAAAGTATGAGTCAGCTGGTGCCCAACCTAAGGTGGGTGCACTACTGAGGATTTTTCAGTTTTGAGGTGGGGTTCTCTGGAGCTTCAGCTCTTAGCCACACAATTATTAGGTCAATGAACACCCAAGATTCTACACTGCTGTAGTGTGGTATTCTGTAGGTAGGTGTATGAAATCCATTTTTAACTTGTTTATGGGGACATAACCCTATTTTAAGGAATATCTGTTTATCTAGACCTTACACTATCTCATTAATGCATAAGATTGTGTTTTCACCATTCTTGTCTCTTTAGGACATGACATCACAAGCAGTAATACCTGAAGTATTTTTTTCTAGAAATTTGGTGTATTGTTCATAAAGAACCAAAACTGAACTTATTTAAAAGAGTTTACAGAATGAACTAATCAAAACTCTATTAGGTTGAATGACAGTTTTGAAGCCATAGATAACTTTCAAATGAAACTCATAATCCTCTATAACTCACCATTAATGGTACCACTTTCCCTCTCTCAAATTTAAAATGTAGACCCCTTAGATTCCTCTGCTTCACATTCAGTTTACTGCTAAGATCTATGTCCTCTCATCCTCTCCAATTCCATTACCACTGACTCTTGTCCAGAATTAATTCTCTCCTGGTATACTAGTTACCTAATTTCTCCCTGCATCCTCTCTAGATGCTGTATAATACTGGCTACAAATAACCTCCAGATTAATCTGTCTACAAAACAAGCCTCTGATCTCAACATTCCTTTGCTCAACACTGTAATAGGTCCCCACTGCCAAATAAAACTACAACTATGCATACAATACATCCATGACTGGCATCTAGCATCATTACTACTCCCCATTAGGGAAGTGATTTTACATATCCACCTCCTTTATGCTCCGTCAAATTAAAGACCCTTGCATGTAAGCTTTCCTCCATTTTTTTCCTTATACTGTAGATAGCCACCTCCTCCAATTCTCTCAAGAGATATACCCACAGCAGTGGTTCTCATTCAGAGGAGGCTTCACCCCCACCTCAACCCCCATGGAATTTCTGGCAATGTTTTAAGACAATTACACCTTGGAAAGGTGAATGAGAGATGAGTGATGCTGCTGAACACCCTGCAATGCACAGCATAGACTCCACAATTAAAAAAAAAAAAATTATCTAGCCTAGAATGTTAATAGTGCTGGTGTTGAGAAACCCTGTCCAGTGGATTACTCCTTTATCCTGGCATAGAATCAACCTGTGTTCTATAAAAATTCCTCACTGGAACTTCAAATGTATTTGATCCATCCAATGTTCTATTATACCCTTATGTTGTGCACCTAATTCCATCCTGCACTTCTTGACCCCTTTATTAAAAAATGTTTAATGTTATAAAGCAAGCCCACATATAATAAGCAACGAGGGTAAGTATACCATGTTTCAATTATTCCCATATACATCACCCTATATGTCTTGCATGCACTAAGTCTGCAAAGAGAGTTGATCACCAAGAATAAGGGCAATTCTCTAAGGAGTTCATTTGCACCTAAAAACCCTGCAACTCTGGTGTTGATTTGCATAAAAAAGAGGTCTGTGCTTTTTACTGACATTTTCTAACTTTCTCCCTAAAGATGAAATTAACAGGTGTCATGAACCTGTTAAAAGTAACAGTTAAGAATAATCAAAGCTCAAATCAATTAAGTAATAAACTGAAAAGGAGTGGTACAAATTATTCCAACATGTAACTATGCTTGACTATATTACCTTATTAAAGTTATTTTTATTTTTCTAATAATATGTCAGCCTTTTTTTGGGGGGGGGGATCCTGCTGAACAACACTTGTAAGGGGTGGTTAAGAGCCAAAGGTTAGAGCTGGGGATGTGGCTCAAGCGGTAGCGCGCTCGCCTGGCATGCGTGTGGCCCGGGTTCGATCCTCAGCACCACATACAAACGAAGATGTTGTATCCGCCGAGAACTAAGAAAAAATAAATAAATGTTAAAATTCTCTCTTTCTGTCCCCCCCCCTTTAAAAAAAAAAAAAAGAGCCAAATGTTATATTCCATGTGCTCAACTAGTTTAATGAGAACCCTTCCCCACTCTCAAATTTCCTACCTCTGCCCATATCTGAAAATAAAGTGAATGAAGACGATTTCTAAAGTCAAACAGGGAAGTAATGTAAAAATGTAGTCAACAACCAAGACCCCAGTAAATGTTCCAAAGCAAAACAGAAAACAGTAAATGGACTTTCTGAATCTCACTCCTAGTTGTCATGAGTTTGGTCCTTTGAACCTTTCATCTTACCATGTGAGGACTGTTTGTGAGAAATCTTCCCACTCTGAAGTTTTAGTTCCCAAAGTGAGAATTGACTTCAAAGCACAATTACCATAAAATAAAAATAATGCCAACATCTTTAATGAATTAACATTAGTTATTAATGTTAATGTTAGTTGCACAGTACATAAAAGAACTTATAGTTTTATAATATTCAATCAACAACTCCTATGCTAAAATCCATTGGACAGTTACCCAAAGCAAGAAAAACTCTTAAAAAAGTTTACATGGAAACCTACAACACCCTACAGGATCTAGCTTCTCCTTACCTCTCTGGTCATTATCTTCCACTTTCCTCCTTGCTCAATGAGTTCTAGCAAGGAAATCTGGTCTTCCAGCTCATGTAGCTGTCTGCACTGCCAGCTCAACAAGTAGACAATGGTTCAAAGCGTCAGAAACTGTTCTGATCCTCCAAAGTTCTTAAAACCTATGTCTCTCTCCTCCCCATTCTTGATTCATTGTTTTATGTTTTCTTAATGTTTGCTAGTATCCTTGTCAATTCCTTTCCCATTTCCTTGAAGGACAGGACTCTTTGTCTTTTTAATCCAGTATTTCCAGGACCTACCACCAGAGTCAGGCTAGAATAAGGTGAATGGGACACATGCTTCAGGTACAAAACTTAAGGGGCTAACATATTTTAGCACCCAAGATTAATATTACTTTAATGGAACATTAGAAAATGAAGATGCAAAAAAATATGAATTAATTATAAAAATTTTAGGTAAAGATGGATCCAGCCAGCACTTGTATGACTCATCCTAATCTTGGCCCTGCCTCACACAGGAACTGTGTGAACCAATTGCATTGAACACTAACTGAAAGCCAACTGCCAACTCTCCCTTCCTGAGACTACAGGAAATTAAAGGAGGGGAAATAGTAAAAGGCGGGGATTGGGGTTTTTTGAAAACATACATCCTGTAGCTTCACTTAAGGAGCCAAAACCTGAGTCCAAGGAATGCACCCTCACCACTTAGGCGCTTGCTCAAATAATACCTGGTTCGGCATCAGTAATAATACGGTGCAATTTGTCAGCAAAGACTTAACAATTAGTACATCCACTCCTGTCACCGCTAGGAAAAACATTCACCCAGCCAGAGGTCTTCAGTTCAAGAAAGTTGGAATTTTATTTCTTGGAACAGCACTAATGTCTCTTGCACTTAGCCCACGGAGGAAAGAAAAATCAGGAAGGCATACATACAAATTCAGTACACTTGACGTCGGGGGGAGAGAATCAATGGTGGTTGAACAACTAGGGCCGAAAATACACCTAAACGCAATAGCAAGGATTCACGTTCGGCCACGCCGGAAGGCGTAAACACCAGGCTCCATTCTCCCGCCACAGGGCGACTAGCTTCAGGGGCCCCGCCTCTATACAAGGTCGCGCACCTACGTACCGCTACCTGCTCCGCGCCCGCCGCGCCCCGCCCGCTCTGGAGGGAACCGCGGGGCACTACAGTGCGCAAGCGCCAACCCGCCAACTCTCTGGCCTCCCGCCAAAGGCGCCTGCGCAGAGGCCTTAGACGAGGGGAGGGGCAAAATTAGGAGGGAGAGGCGAGCGCGCGTAAATCCTAGAGAGGCGGGCTCCGTAGGGCTTGGGGGAGGGTTCGTCTTCCGGAAAGCCTGGATTCCTGGACGACCAGAGTCGCCGCTCACCGGACTCCCGCTTGTGAGACGATCGAAGAAAGTTGGATAGCGTTTGTTCCCGTCAGAGATCTTCGGAGAAGCCAGAGCTGTCTTCTGGCTAATAATGGGGCTTGAAGGAGGGCCGTTCCCAGGACGGCGGAGTGAACTGCGGAGGGTGTACGCATGCGTGGTAGGCTCTCTCCACGTGCAGCTGGACCGCGGGCTCCCTGTCCTCCTAGGCCCCGCCCAGACTGCAGCATCTTTGGGGACTAGTGGAGCAGGATGGAAGGGGGTTGGGCTTCGCGGCTCGGCCCCGCCTCAGCAGCCTTCAATTGGGCGTGGGTGAGGACGTCCCCTCCCACTGCCTTCCTATTGGCGCGCGCGTGCGAGAGACGCTCCTCATTGGGCCGCGAGGATTTGGGCACCAAATTCAAAGATTTTAAAAGTACCAGCTGGCGCGTTTTAAGAACTACAGCCCTGTGAAGCAGGCACTCGCTTGGCCGCTGGTGTGGCCGAAACCACACCTGAGGCGGACCCCAAGTCCACTGGCATGAGCTGGCGCCCCTGCAGCTGCGTCACACGGCCTTTCTCCTGCTCTTGCAGCTCTTGCTCCTGCAGCTCCAGCGCGCTGACAGCCGCCGGGCACCCTCGCTGCCCAGACGGTGAGTGAGGGGAACCCGAGTGTAGTAGCGCATTCAGTTAGGGGTGCATGGTGAGGGACGCAGTCTGCTATACCTGACCCTGCATTCTCCCCAGCCTGGTCGCGTGGCCTCTCGCAGGACCCTGGGGCGGGCGACGGTCGCGATGGTTCTCAGATGGGGGGAGAGAGAAGTCTGGGGTTCTGAAAGGGGAGGCCAGATGTGTTGGGAAGCGGTGGCTGACCGCGGGGTCCCGCCGCCCATTCGGAACCTGAGCTGAGCTGCGGGGAGATGGGGCGGTGGCAGACCTGGCTGCAGCTAATCCCGGGAAGGTCGGCCCGCCCCACCCGCTTGAATGGGCGCCAAAATGCCCCCTCCCCGCCCCCACCCGCGCTGGAGCTGACAGGTTTTGCGCGCGGGACACCCCAGGGGCGCCAGGTGCCTGCCCCTCTCCCTGCGTCCCTCTCCCCGCACCTCTCTCCTCGCCCCCTCTTCTGCATCCACGCACACCTCTCAGCCCAAGCCCGCTCCCGGATGCTCCTCCTGGGGCTGGCTGGCGGGCGCGGGAGATCCTGCTCGCGGTGATCTCCCGCCTCCGGAGTCCCGCGCCCGCAGGGGACGGCCCACCCACCCCGCCGGATTTTCAGGGTCTACTCCCCTCTCCCGCCAAATGGAGAGGACCCCACCCCCAGTCCCACATCGGACCAAGCTCCATTGGGACATCCAGACAAAAACGTCAGTTTTATCCTTTTTTTCTCTTTTTGCTCTGTAACTTAATCTCAAGGCCTAGATTCGAAAGGGAAGGGTTAAAATAAAAGCACTTTTTAATACAAACCTGTGAATTTGTCTAGGGTATTTAGCCAATTTGTGAGAATTGAAGAAGTGATCTTTATTTGGCTGTATTCCTGAACAGCTACATAGTCCTTTATTACAAAATTTAGGTAGATTGGAGGGCACTCCAACGCTTATTTTTATCTTCTTTGTTGCCATCTCTAAATGAAGTCCTAATGCATTATTTTACCTCACAAATGGCCCCAAATGGAAAAAATAGCAAATCTGTATTCCAGTGTTTGGTAATGTCTCATTCATTAGAAAAGGAATCAAGTAGTAAAATTAATTTTAACGGGTTCGGTAATATATACTTCTAAAATATCCTGATACCTAACTCTGCCTTCGAAATTCTGAACGTTGATGTCTTTATGATGGAATTTTTTTTTTCCTCCAGTTTTCTAACTACCTTTCTCTCTTAAAAGTATTTACTGCTTCCAAGGTTTTATTTCTACCTGTTTACAGATTTGAGAAAACTAAATATCGCATCCAAATACTTTTGAAAGTAGGCTTTCCTAAAATTTTCTGTTGAGGATTATGGCTGATTTACAGCTTTGGCCATAGGTCTTGGCTCTCAAATTCTTAAGGAATGAGCATGTGTAGCCTTGTGCACATGGTGGTTATCTATAGAATGTCTAGATTGGGAAGTTAAATGGAAGGTCAAATTTGTAGAGTTTGTCATAATACCACTTGTTTCATGATTGAACTGAGTTGGTTAATAAGAGTTTTTTAAAATGCAGTATTTGAGTATCATTAGTATCTGTTTTAGGGAAAATGAGAATAGTAATGGAAGGACACTGTTCCAGTTAACAAAGGCTGGGCAGATATTTCCATTTGAACTTGGATCTGTTTCCCAAATTTTTGCTTTGGATGATATTTTACTGCTTTTAAATATTAATGATGTGCAACTTGAGGAGTATAAGGAGTTTAATTTCTTCCTCCCATTTTATAGATGAGGAAACAGACTTTGAGAAAAAGTCATTGCCTTTCCCCAACTCTGTAAATAAGGCTGTACATTGGATGGCTCAAACCTTAATTCCTAGGGTATTGTTATTTCACTTTCCCTGGTCATCAACATCCAGTACATTAGCAACATAATTATGTCTTTATCCTCCTACATAATAGACCTTGAACCTACCCAGTTATCTTCATTTCCACTGCAGTCACCCTAGTCCCCAACTCTGTACTCCTATGGTAAAATACTTTTAACTAACCTCCTAGCCTTCACTTTTACCTTCCTGCACAGCTTCACCACAGCTACCAATGATCTTTTTAAAATGTAAACCAAATTTCTCTCCTTTATTTGGAACAATGCAAAGGTCCAACCTACCCTATGACTGTTCCACTTCTCCAACATTATTTCTGAGTCATTCTCCCCATCTTACTAAGTTGCAGCACTATTATTACTCTTTTTTGAACATTAAAAATTTACATTTTACTTGCTTGTGTTTACTTGCTTTCTTGTGTTTCCCTGAATCTGGAATTTTCCTAACAGATTTCCACAAGGCTTCTAGATCTCAGAATATCACCTTCTCCAAAGGTCATCCCTGATTAATGTCTTCCTCACTCCATACTATCAATAAATATTGTATAAATGAATCAAGTAATGGTATAGAATCAAGTAATAGTCTCTCCCTTTATCTGGATAGTATCAGGTCAATTATGGATACAGATAGTTCCCAAAGAGTTTGGGAACACTTGACTTGGTCTTTGGAAAGTACCTGACTAGTTAAAGGCATGCTCTTAGCCTTTGCAAGCAGTTTACTTCTGCTTCCTTTCCTGTTGACAGTGGTATTTAAATCAACCTACTTTTCAGTATTGTTATGGAGATGAAAAATTCATTACAGTCACTTCATATGTTAAAATTAAATCTACAACCAAAGTCAGCACCAGCTGAAAGAGCTTGCCATAGTGAAAGCTGGAACAAGTTAAGAAAAAAAAACTTAAGTAGTATTGGATTATGATTCAAAACCCATGAGTCTATGCTGATATAAATGGTTGAAAAAGGAAAGAAATGGGATAAAATAGATAAAATCTGCAGAAAGATTCCAAATGATTATGTATTTACGTCCCTTTGAAAAATAGAAATTTAGACAAAAGGTACAAAAGTCAGCACTTCTCAGAAGTATAAGCTGTATAGTGATTTTTCTTTTTAAATATTATGATATCAGGAGGTAACCGAAAGGAGAATAACCTGATCAGTTCAGCCTGGTGCTTAAGATAAACATTGGAAGTGATAAGTTACTATATTAATAACTTTTACCTTCTATAGGATGTGATGACAGCATTTTATTTGTGTCTTTTTTTCTAAAAATCCACAACCCCAAACCATAACAAAAACATTAAACAAATACCCATTGATGGGCATTCTATATAAAGTCAGAAATTGGCACAAACAAGGGGTGTCTACCAGAACATGACAGTGGATCTTGGATGGGATTCTGGAGCACAAGAAAGCAATAGGTAGAAACTGAAAACAACTAAAATGTGTATTTTACTTAATAATGCAACAATATTTATTCATTAATTGTGACATGTACACCATGGTAATCTGAGTTAGGTACTGGTGCTGAATGTATAGGGGATTCTGTACGGTTCAAATAAAAATACAATGGCTGGCGTGTAAGGCTCTGGGTTCAAGCCCAGCACCAAAGCAAAAAAAGAAAAGTGTTGGCACCATAGTGATAGATACAGATTCTAATCTTGGTCTTAGCTAAAATATTAGGAAATGCTGACATTTTATGTCCGTCTTCATTGTGTCAGGCACTGTATTGTTTGCTTGAGATCGCATCATAAGCAATAGCAGTTGTGTTAAGGAATTTACAGTAAGCTTACAAATTTAAAATTGATTGAGCTAGGAAGCAGGGTTTGATGTGGTCTAAGAAGACCCCTCAAAAAATAAAATGAAATATGAAGCTTAACGTGAATAATAAACTAGGAGTTAACCAGACAAAGGCAGCCAAAAAGATATTCTGGGCAGAGAAAATATATACCTTGAATGAATATATAACTTCTTGCATCATAAATTCTGGCTTTTTGGTCACTTGTAAACAGGTTTGTGCCACATTCCCAGGTGAGATAGTGGAAAAAGCAGGGGATTTACAGTCCAGTGATATGGCTTTCTTATCTCATGATCAGATCTTTTGCAGTCTACTTAGCTGAGCTTGACTGTGCTCCATTATCAAAACAGGGTAATGATAACTTTTTTTTTTTTTAAGTGAGGACTAATTAGTTGTTTGAGAATATTGGAAATCACAAACTTTTAAACAAATATAAAATATTTGAATCATTGCTAGCTGTATTTTAAAGGACTGTCTATTTAAGAAATGGTGTTGAATAAAAGAGGTTCTATAGGACATTCTTCCCAAATCTAGGTTCTAGAAACAGGGAATATACCTTTGAAAAAGGAGTTCCTGGAGGTCAGCTTCATGCCTCTTTGCTTTAGGCACCTAAAGTAAAAAGTATGCCTTTGATAGGCTGCTTCTGTTTTTTTTATCTTCTCATATAAATTGTGATCCTATGTAAATCAAACTTAATTCTCTAGTTGAGACAAGAATAGGGGAAAAAGCCTTGATTGGCGTTTTTTACCAATAAAGGAAACCACTTAATTTGTTCTTAGGATTAGGGTTAATTGGGAAGTTAGAATTTATTTATGTACTCTTTTTTAATATTTTTTTAAGTGGACAAAATATCTTGTATTTTACATTTATATGGTGCTGAGGATCAAACTCAGTGCCTCAAGCATGCTAGGTGAGCACTCTACTGAGCTACAACCCCAGCCCTATTTATGTACTCTTTATGTCCCTAAACTCTTAGTTAAAACTTAATTTTTAGGTTTAGTGGGATACTAAAGCATAGAAGTGTCACTGTTGGCTTTAGGAAGTTAAAGGGAGCCTCCAACTGCAAATTTACTTGATAGAAAGGTATATTTGTACTTTGGATTGAAAAGTTTTGTTCTCAGTAAAACTAGTTATATTAATATGGACAAATTAACAATATTTAGTACATAAAAGCGTAGTTTTCTACTTGGGAATAAAGGAAATGTTGCTATTACCACCTCCCTTGTGCTATATTTGGTGATAATTGGTTACTGAAGACATTTGTTGTTACACCTTGTGGTTGGGGGCTGCTAGTGATCTCTAAGAGTAAAGGCTGCTAAACAGCCACATGTCGGGGGAGCACATAAGAGCAAGAATTAAGTGCGTAGAGATAGAGAAACCCTGCTTTATGCTGCCTTCTCCATGTGTCTTAACTAATGTCTTAGGCACTGAAGATTGTGTAAAAGCACTGATTAGATCTTTCACTCTTTTAAGGTTAAGATTGAATCAGTAATTAAGAATTCTAATGAGTAATGTTCAGAAATAGTTACATGATTTGTTGATAGTATTTTTTTTTCTCTTATGCTGCTTATAACCAGTATGTTGTCTTAAGTTGTTTAAAGCAATTGCACAGTAATTCACACCTGCTGACCTATTCCCCTTGAGTTATTAAATATGGTTTTATAATGATTGGAATGTCATGTTTTATTTGTCAAGTCTTAATTCTGACTGGTAGCTGAAGTACTTTGATTCTTTGGTTAATTAGTCATGAAATACCTTTGCTCAGTGATTGAATATAGCAACATTTTTAGCACGTTAAGCCAGATAGAGAGATGTCCCTTTGACTGAGTTTATTCATTGCAGTATACAAACACTTTTAAGTATATCTGCACAGTCACCTAGAACCTCAATCAGAATAAAACTTGGAGATGAAAACTGGGAGTTCAGGTATACATTAACGTATGAATGTTCAAAGTCCAGGGTAGAAGCACTGATTCTAGAAATGTTTGTGATTACTTTGAGGATGATTTTAACTTTGGGCCCTACTCTTTGTCATATCACATTCCTCATTTGTTACATGAGTTCAGATGTATATGGTTCCTTTTCCCATAGTTTTTTACTTAATCAAACGTAGATTCTAAAAAGTCAAATTTTACACATATATAGATTCAAAAGCAATCTGTCCTGAAGTCTTCAAGAATATGTATAAGATTTAAATATTTCCACATGTATTGTCATTTCAATTAAACTTGGATAATTTCACAGCTTTATAGGCAAATGCATGTCGGCAATACATAGTTCTAAGAGAATGCAAAGTTATTGAATCTTGCATATTCCAATCTAAATTTTGCAATTAAGAAGTAAATGTGTTCTTTTTGTAGGTTGTAAAGAAGAAGGTTTCACTTTTTCTGGCAAAATGAAGTGTGATTTTAATTGTAACCATGTTCATTCTGAATTGAAACTGGTAAAACCAGATGAAAGTGGAAAACAAGGCTCCTATACTCCTGCATATTTAGAAGGTTCTTGTAAAGACTGCATTAAAAACTATGAAAGGTTATCATATATTGGGTCACCAGTTGTGAGCTATAGGACTAAAGAACTTGAACCTAAAAGCAAACCCTTGCATAACAAAGAAAATCAACATGTGCAACAAACACTTAATAGTCCCAATGAAATAGAAGAACTGGACACCAGTAGACTTTGTGAAGACAGTGGGTATTCCTCATTTACTCAGCAAAGTATCCTCAATGAATATGAAGAGAGTAGCTTTTCACTCGAGGAAGATTTCAGAAACAGCCCACAGTCCTGCCTACTACAGACACAAAGCCCAGAATATCCCAACAAAAACTTGCTTCCAGTTCTTCATTTTGAAAAAGTGGTTTGTTCAACATTAAAAAAGAATGCTAAGCGAAATCCTAAAATAGATCGAGAAATGCTGAAGGAAATTATATCCAATGGAAATTTTAGACTCCAGAATATAATTGGCAGGAAAATGGGCCTAGAATGTGTAGATATCCTTGGTGAACTCTTTCGAAGGGGACTCAGACATCTCCTAGCAAATATTTTGACACAGCTCAGTGATATGGACTTAATCAAGTAAGTATTATTGCTTATTAGAGTATATGAGTATAAACTACTATACATTTCTGTTAGATATCTCAGTATCTCAGTTCTGTCAGCTGATACAAAGACTGATGTAGTAGTCTGATGATGTTTAATTGAAATAATGACTGTTTGATCACTGGCACTTATTTCACTTCTTGTGTGCCACTAAGATGAAAGAAAATCTTATAGAAGTATGTATTTAATGTGATCATTATGAATTTCATGTTCACTGTTAGAAAACTGTTTCTATTGTTTGGCATCTTTTGTTTCTTTTAGTTCTGAAATTTGTAATTTATTAGTTATGTCTCTGGAGATAAACTGCATATCTACAGTCTACATATCTAATACACCTATGACTTTTTGCCACTCTTGAAGTATAAAATGTTTTTAGACCAGTTTTTAAGTGTGGGGCTCAAAGATTGTACCCTTTTCTGTTATCATAATGGGCTTTTCAAGTAGATTTCTGCTAATAGTGGTATGTCCTAGAGTACTTTGAAATGTGTCTGCACTTTTTATCAAACATGGTATCATATATCACAATGATGGCTACTTATTTAGTGTTCTCAGATATTATAAAAAATAATAATAAAGTACAAAGACTGATCCTTAACCTGGATGTACGAGAATTACTTGATGAGGAGCTATTTTAAAAATATAGAAACCTGAGCCCCATTTTAGACCAGTTAAACCCAAATGACTAGCCCTGGGCATCTGTCCTTAAGTCTCAAATGCCTAAAACCATTCTAATGGATAGTTTTTGAAAAACACTTAAATTAAATTTCATTTTTATACTTAGTATTTCTCTACTATATCTATCTTAGCATATTTTTGGTGCTTTATTCGTTTCTTTTGTGATCATTTATTTTCCAGTATGTCCAAAGTGAGCACAGCCTGGAAGAAGATTCTAGAAGACGATAAGGCAACATTCCAGTTATACAATAAAGCAATGCAAAGAGTTACTGTAAGTCTTTGCAATTGATGTTTTCTTTTTAAAATACACTGCTACTACTCTTACCTTTAGAAATAAAGGAGAAATAGGAAAGAAAAAAAGTAATCTAGAAACCCTTTCCCAAAAGGAAAAATGCTTTGCAAATAATTTTAGCCTTTCACAGAACTGATTAAGAAACCAAATTCAAAAAATAAAGGGAATTCCACCTCAGTTATTTACTTATTTATTGGGTTCCCTCTAGAAATAGAATGCCCAGACTAATAAGGGAGAAATAACTTAAGTTTTCATGTACTGACCATCTAGCCAATCTTGGAAAGAGATTTAATTTGCAATTCTTAGTTATTAATAGATGGCGATGGCCATGCCATCTACTGGTGATAGGGGCTATCTGGGCATGGTGGCTCACACCTGTAATTCCAAAGACTCAGAGAGGCTGAGGCAGGAGGATCGAGAGTTCAAAAGTCAGCCTCAGCAACTTAGTGAGACACTTAGCAACTCTGTGAGACCCTGTCTCTAAATAAAATATTTTTTAAAAAGGGCTGGGAATGTGGATTACTGGGTTCAATCCTCAGTACCAAAAAATAATAATAATAATAATAATAATAGGGGCTATAAAAAGTATACTTTTCTTGCCAGAAAAACAGTAATATCAATATTTGGAAGATTCTTACTGTGGAAGGGAAATATGTTTATATTTCTAAAATACTTGGTAACTATAGATGTGTCTAAGATTGAGATCAATGCATGATTAAAAGTTTGGGCTTTAGAATTGGACAGGCTTAGGTACAAAAATTTGGTGCTACTACTAAATAAATGACTTTATACAAGTATTGCTTAATTCTCCAGGTTGAATTTCTTTACTGGTATTAATGAAAACTCTAGTATAAAAGACTATAAATCTGTTAAATACTATGGTGACACTTATACTTGGGTCGTGCCATCTACTGGTGATAGGAAGAATGACCATTTGTTCTGTCTTTGACATTGTTTATTTTTAAATACCTCATAGACTACACATATAAAGTGATTTCTCAGTTTCTGATTCACTTTCCACCAAGAAAAGTTATTGTGGCTATGTTTAAGTATGTGCAGCTACATTAGATATAGGGATAAGTTCCTTTCAGTCCTGTTTGACCTTTCCTATGTGTACAAATCTAAGTGATTGGTTGTTGAATTGATATAGCAAAGGAAATATTATAACTCCTGTTGAAATTTCTTTAATTAGGAAAACAGCATTAAGTGTTCACCACATGCTTCAACCAGAGAATATGTTATGTTCAGAACTGCATTAGCTTCTGTTCAAAAATCTGCAACACATATTCCTCCCCCCAAAAGTGTGCAGACAAAGTTATCCAGTCAACGTGATCCGAAAAGTTCTACTTACAGTCGGCACAATGAATTCTCTGAGGTAATTTTATGTTTAATCAATGAATTACAAACATGGGGCATTTACTTTTTAAAAAAACTTTTAAAGAAATAAAAAATAATTTTTCAAGGTCAAAATATAACTTAAATCTTAATAATAACTAATGTATTCTCTTCTAAATTGGAAGAGATATTGATGTTCATTGAAATTTAATTATATCGGACTGGGGATGTGGCTCAAGCGTAAGCATGCTCGCCTGGCATGCGTGCGGCCCGGGTTCGATCCTCAGCACCACATACCAACAAAGATGTTGTGTCCGCCGAGAACTAAAAAATAAATATTAAAAATTCTCTCTCTCTCTCTCTCTCTCTCTCTCTCTCTCCCTCCTCTCTCACTATCTCTTAAAAAAAAAAGAAATTTAATTATATCATAATTAGAACAATTAGGGAATTAATAGTTCTTCTGCCCCCTTCATTTCAACTCTCAGAAATGGCTTTAAAAGCCAGGTGCAGTGGCACACACCTGCAGACTCAACAGCTCAGGAGGCTGAGGCCAGAGGATCATGACTTCAAAGTCAGCCTCAACAAACTCAGTGAGACCCTGTGTATAAATAAAACACAAAACAGGGCTAGAGATTTGTCTCAGTGGTCGAGTACCCCTGAATTCAATCCCGGATACCCCCCTCCCCCGCTTAAAAAAAAAAGATGGCTTAAAAAGAACTCAAGGTAAAAGAGCACCCAACTCCTCAGTAGCTAGGAAGGCTTTATAGAAATGGTGGCATTTAAGTTATTCATTGATGTGCAAGTAGCCTTCAGTGTCTATTTAAGACCTAGCCTGAGGTAGAAGGCAATATATCTAAAAGTGGCAGTGGCCACTGAATCCCCTGACAAGTAATGCTGTCACCCATTGAACAATAGTCTCCTTAAGGGAAAGAAGTCTTACATGTGATGGTAGTGCTTTAAATATGTAAGGGGGAGTAGAGGTACCCTTCTTGTTTTTACTATAACTAAATTACATTCAGTCCTTACTAAAATTTATGGGTTTTGTTCTTTTTTTTTTTTTTTAAGGTTGCCAAGACTTTGAAAAAGAACGAAAGCCTCAAAGCTTGTATACGCTGTAAGTCACCTGCAAAATATGATTCCTATTTACAACGTGCAACCTGCAGAAGGGAAGGCTGTGGATTTGATTATTGTACAAGGTGTCTGTGTGATTATCATTCCACCAAAGACTGTGTGAATGGCAAGCTCCTGAAAGCCAATTGTAAAGTGGGTCCTCTTCCTGGTACTAAGAAAAGCAAAAAGAATTTACAAAGATTGTGATGTTATTAAATCAATTATAAATGTGCATGAGGGTTAGTTAGAAAATGTTAGGTTTTAATCTCATCCCCCAAAAAAATGGTTGTGATTTTTTTTTTTTGCTTTTTATATTGAAATCAATGTATCTGGGATTTTTCCCCCAGTAAATAGAAGACACACAACTTCTTAAAATATTTTACGACTTAATGTGAAAAAGCTTAAAATTCTCAGTACAAAACAAAATTTAAATATTTTTTTAAAGAGGGAAAATTACATAGTTACTATCTACTAGCATTTGAGACATCTTGTTTCACTAAATTAATACCAATTAAAATATCAATTTCTGGAGTCTGTTAATTTAAATGTTTGTTTACCTTTCTTAAACCTTTTTTTCAGTGTATATATTTCTCAAGACTGTATCCTTTGTAAAGTCTTTGTGTTTTCCTTATTTCTGAAGTTGGTTTTAATATTTTTGTATATGTGTAAATATGTCTATTTTTATGTGTCAAAGTAAAAAAATAAGTGTATTGTATATACCTATAAATAAATTTTGTTATGAATAAAATTGTTATGAACTTAATAATATCTGCCTTAAATTTTTATGGTTATCTTAATTCTAGAAACGAAAGAGGTTTGGAATTAAGAAAAGGCCCCTAAAATATAAGGATGGAACTCGCAGATCATCTCAGTAGGCTCTCAGAGAAGTTTTAAGGGCTTTGCCCTTCATCTTAGCAGAAGTCAGGTAGCAGTTTTCCCCAGGTGGGGTAAACTCTTCTTTTTTAAGCAGCTTTATGAAGTAAAATACCTCAGTTTCCATGTGCATAACAACTATGAGGCTTTCCCCACAAGAACATAACCTTTCCTAAGTTTTCTCTACTGTTCTGCAGTTCCTCCTGTCCCTTCCCAGGCACACACTGATCTGTTTTCTTTCACATTAGTTTGCCTTTTCAAGAGCTTAATATAAATGGAATTAAAATATATTGTTTTGTCTGCATGCTTTTGCTGGACATGATTTCAAGATTCATCCAAGTGTGGACGCCAGCAGTCCATTTCTCATTAAGCAGTATGCTGCTGTTGGATATACCAGTTTTATTCACCCTTTGATTGATGTTGGCTTTTCCCCTCATTTTTTGTTTGGTACCAGGGATTAAACCCAGGGGCGTTCAACCACTGAACCACATCCCCAGCTCTTTTATATTTTTAAATTTAGAGACGGGGTCTCTCTGAGTTGCTTAGGTCGGCGCTCAGTTACTAAGGCTGGCTTTGAACTCAATCCTCAGCTGCCTAAATTGCTGAAATTACAGGCATGCGCGCCACAGAAGCCGGCTTTTGTTTGTTGGTTTTAAATAAGGTTCTGTAAATATTTCTCGATAAGTATATTAAAAGTTATTTTCATTTGTCTTGTGTGAATAAGAGCAGAATGGCTAAATTATATGGAAAATGTTTTATTTTTAGAAAAGATTTTGCAAAAACCAGTACCATTTTATGTTCTCAAGCAGTATATGAGAATTCCCTTTATTTCACATTTTCATCAACACTTGCTAGTCAGTCATTGTAATTTTAACCATTTTAATGGGTGTGAAGTATTGTTTTAATTTATACCTTCCAAATGACTAATGTTTAGCACCTATTCATGTTATTTGGCTTCATACGTTTTCTTTGGTGAGATGTCTATTTTTTTTAATTGAGATCTCAGAATATATATTCTGGATCAAGAGCTTTATCAGAGTGGGCCTTTTCTCTTCTAGTGTCTTTGGAAAAGTTTTCCGTTTTTATGAAGTTGAGATGATTAGTTTTTTTTTCTGAATCATGCTTTTGGTGTTTTTAATCTAAGAAATTTACCTAGTCTATGATGGGAAGCATGGATTGACACCTGGTTCCTGTACTGTTTGCATACAAAGCTGCTCTTTGTTTGCTGAGTTGTATCTCAAACTCCAACATTATTGCCTTCATTTCTTTAGTTTGGAAGTCTTGAAACTGGGCAGTGACAGCCCTTTATTTTTCTCTAAATTTCTTTCCTGCTGTTTTGTTTCTGTTTTGTCCATTCTGTTTTATTTCTGTGTAAATTTTATAATCAGCTTTACCAGTTTATTTTTTATAATAAGCATGAAATATGTGATGGGTTTTGGCCAGGATTGTAACAAATCCAACAACAGGAGTTTTCCAACGATGAACACAGTAATTCTTCCACTGATTTTAGCAATTCATTATCTTTTCATTATATGCACATTTGTGTCAGATTTATCCATTACATTTTTTATGCTAAATGACTTTGATTTTTGATGATTTGTTCCTAATATATTGAAATGCAATTTGTTCTTATATATTGACCTTTTACCTTGAAACCTTGCTAAATGCAGTAAGTTACAATTTTCAGTCTACCAGATTTTCTATGTAAATTATCATATACAAAAAAAAGCTTTATTTTTCTTATTTTAATCTGTATACCTATTTCTTGGCACATTTTACTGGCCAAAACCTCTGGTATAATGTTTGATAGAAATGTCAAAGGAGAACTCTTTTAAATTTTATTATTTATATATTTATTGGTACCAGGATTGAACTCAAGGATGCTTAACCACTGAGCCACATCCCCAGCCCTTTTAAATTTTTATTTAGAGATGTGTTCTCACTAAGTTGCTTAGGACCTTTCTATGTTGCTAAGGCTGGCCTCAAACATGAGCTCCTCCTGCCTCAGCCTCCTGAATCACTAGGATTATAAGTGTGTCCGTGCACCTGGCTACATTTTTAACATGAAGAGAAAATAGTGTAGAGAAGACAAGATTATTTTGAAATACTTTAAGCATGAACATGGAAGAAGCAGGTGATAGGAAGCAGATAACAGCTATATTAAAGGAAGAATAAAACATAAAAGTAAATTTTTTAAAAGTAGAAGAGGGAATAGGAAAATTTAGCTACTTTGGGGGAAAAAGAGTGAAGAAGCTGCAAAAAGAGACAAAATTCAAGGTACAAAAACACAAAAGTAAGAACAAAACAACTCAGACCACAATATAGTTTTACCTCACGTAAGTAAAACCAGGGCTAAATAATAAATGAAGAAAAGAAGCAATTAAAATGAAGCAAAATTATATGAATATATATATATATTAAATGTGTTCACACAGTGAATGTGCATGGCACACAATCAGAATGGAAAAAAAGTAAATTAATGAAGTAATATTTGAAATTTTTAAAGTAAAAAGGGGAAATGTATGGGGGAAAAGGGGTAGATAAAAAAAAAATGAGAAATATAGGGCTTTTTTCCTCCGTCAAAATTCTTGGCATGGGTGGATTTCCATTTTTCATTTTTGGGCTCTGAACCCTTGGCTCAAGGGCTGGGTTGTTCAGTCCAACATCTTTGTCTTCCTTGCATGTTGCCAGCTGTTGTGGCCAAGAGCCAAAGCTGGTTGTAGTAGCTCTTAGTTTCCTGTCTCCCAGATTGTGATGGGAAAGAGGGGTGAATACAGACATGCTGTGTACTCCTGCATTGGGGTTGGTGTAGAGCTCTAAACCAAAAGTTCCAGTAGTTGGAGTTTAATCCAGCTGAACTTTGGAATTCTGTTGGTGGATATTTTAAATTTAATCCACACCCCCTATTGCTGGGGAAATACCAATGGCTGAATGTCCATGTCTCAGGCCTCCCATCCATTCTACTTTGAGAGTGCAGAGTCTAAACCTTCACAGGTCTCACATTGACCACTATGGATGTGAATTAGCAGGGATCAGAGCTGGATTGCAGTTGCTTTTGTGTGGCCAATAGCTAGCTGTTATGGGGCATCCACTACAAAAGGAGTTTGCTCTCCTCAGCAGTTTTCTTTGGGCCTATTTGAGTTACACTGGTCCAGGTACACTCTGGGGCTCCTAGTAGATACCTGCTGAGTCAGCTGCCACTTCCCTTATGAGTTCCCAATCTCCTGCCTTGGCCTGCTGTCAGGCCAGGCTTATAAATAGTTCCTGTGCTGGTGACCCTGGTTTCTACCCAACTATCTGCCCCCATGAGCTGAGTGATTTTGGTTGCTTTTCACTCAATTACTTCTTCCACCAATTCAAGTCCATTAAGATCAGCCTCCCTCTCTGTTCCACAGGTTCTTCCAGAACAGTTTTTTTTTTTTTTTTTCCTGCCACACTTTTCTCTGCCTGCACTCCCCCTCTGCTCAAGCAGACCTGGCTGCCACCAGCTCTGTCACCCCAGGCTGGCATGTCTTTAACATCATAACTTAAATTCTGTGTCTCTGATTTCTTTTACTGTCCAATATTGAATTTCGGTGAGTTCCCTTAGTTACCCACCTTGCTTTTTTAAGTCTAGTGCTAAGGAACTGCTAGGCGGGGCTTCTTTCCTCTAAACCACCATGTTCTCTCCTTAAAATTTTCCGTAACTGTTAATGCCATTGGAAATGGAATTGATCCATGATTTCTTTTTTGGGTATTTCTTGTTGGTTTATACAAATGCTGATGATTTTATGTTCATTTTTTAACATTAAAAACAAGTGCAACTTTTACAAAAACCAAAACCAGACAAGGACACTACAAGAAAATAAAATTACAGGACAACTCTGTTAAACAAACATGTAAAATTCTTAAAAAGATGCTAGCAAACTGAATTGAACAGTACTTAAAAGGGTTGTTTACCATGGCCAAGTCAACCTAAACCTGACATGCAGATCCATTAATGTGATACAGCACATAGACAAAACGGAAAAAAAAAAAAAATCACGTGATCATCTCAGTAGATGCAGAAAAGCATTTGACAAAATTACATGAGTAAAAATCAGGTATAGGAAGAATGTAAACATCCTTTCATGATTAAAAACAACTCAACAGCTGGTCATGGTGGTATAGGCCGGTAATCCCATCAACTCATGTATTGAGACAGGAGGATCCAAGTTCAAATCCAGCCTCAGCAGCTTAGCAAGGCCCTAAGCAACTTAATAAGATACTGTCTCAAAATGAAAACTAAAAAGGGCTGGGAATGTGGCTTGATTGGTAAAGTGCCCCTGGGTTCAATCCCCAGTACAAAAGAGAGGGAGAGAACGAAAGAAAGTGAACAATTACGTATAGATGAGCAGAAGTCTTGTCTCACACTCTTTGTTTCTCGATACTAATTAATACTGAGAATATCT